TTTCTACTTGACTACTGTGCTGTTGAAGATCTTTTACCTGAGCTTTCAGTTCCTGATTCATCATTTCTATTTGTTTGCCATGTTGCTCGAGGTTATTGATCTGAAGTATGAGCTCATGATTCTTGTTTTCCAGTTGATAGCCATGTTGTTGGAGATCTTTAATTTGATCTTTGAGCTCCTGATCCTTGCTTTCCACTTGGTCGCAGCGTTGTTGAAGGCTGGTAACCTGCACTGTGATCTCGTGATTCTGTTTTTTCATTTGATTAGCCTGCTGCTGTAGATCTGTTATCTGAGTTTTGAGCTCATGATTCTTGCTTTCCAGTTGACTGCCATGCTGTTGATGATCTTTGACCTGAGCTTTGAGCTCTTTGTTCTGAGCCTCCACTTGGTTGCAATATCGCTCTAGGCTGTTTATTTGCCGTTCAAAGTTTCCGCTATCAATTTCAAATTGCTTCCGTCGTCTGTCAAAAATAAAAAGTGGATCGAGGGTGGCTAGTTTCTCTCGCAAACAGCGGTCCGCAATTGCAGAAGCAGTTGCATAGTAAGGTGTTCTTAGCCGATGTTCGGGATCTTGCCTTTGATGAGATGTCATCGCGTTCGGATACGAAACTTTGCTGAGATCGTCAAAATAGCGGCCTCTTTCATGCCCTATAGAACAAATCGTACAAATTTACCAAATATCAATGAACTTTGTCGATAGACTTACGTGCATCTGATAGATGTGTACATAAAAAGTTTGGCCTATGTCGATAGCTGGAATAAGCTTCGTTGTTCTTCGATTCGAGTTCCAGAGAAGACCAGTCGAATAAGCGAACGCAGGATCTGGATCTTGGGATATGAATGAAATTATTCTTGCATACCCTACAGTGGAATTTTGGATTGATCGGCTGCATATCCATGCACAGAAAGACAGGAGTTCGCTTGAGTTCGTACTTATTTCTAGAAATCGAACAGACTAATTTTTCGTAATGTCTTTTATCGAAAAAATGTGAATAAAAATTATATGAATGTGAAGTTTTTGGATTCCTTTGTTTCAAACAAAAGATGCAGCCTCCCAAGTTTCGCTACTAGAGTGACAAAGCGTATTGTCCACGACATAACATTCAAAAACATTATTGAAGCAGGGTCTTAGATCACGACGGCCAAATTCTTTTTATTGGGTCTTTAAATGATTTCAAGAGAATGCAGATTGAAAATAACGAAAATCAATGTAAATAAAATGTGTTAAATTGACATCGTGTGTATCTGCTGGCTCGAAAGTTATTAATAACGCTGCTTGAACTATGATACCTGGCCTTGGCGACAGAAACAGAAAAACTGGCGAAACATGCAAATTTCAGTGAACTGTGGGTATGTGTCAAAGACATCAACACCCATATCTTGTGATAGTGAGTAGTCCCACTCGAGTTATGTACGTGTCGAAAATTCTAGGCTTTTCGATACTTATCTCAGAAAAATAGCAGGGACGTACTTTTTCAATTTTAAGCCTTTGTAAGTGGATTTCGCATATAAGGCATTCCATTAAAGTGCCAATCGGATCTGCTTTATCAGGATCGTCAGATCTTGCTCAATTTAAGATATTGTTGCGGAGGAAAGATTCTTATGAGATTTGACGCAAGCCATCCTGAATCAAAAAAAAATGCAGGCTGTCCTCTATCGGAACGCTCGAGAAATTATTAAGATGTTGGCAGTAGGAATTCGGTGAGCGGATTTGATAGCCGACTTTGTCCGATTACTGTCATTTTCGGTCGAAATTCAGAAAATCGGGAAGTCGGATCACGAAGGATCCTACAGGAAAGCACCGGGTGTGGGTGTGCCTCTCAGCGTGGCGTTTGCTTTATGCTGAAATAAACCAACGCTCAACGTAGACATCACACTGCGACAAAACCCCATACTCATACCCCACTTCGTTGTTTGCTATATTTTTTCTGTGATTCCTCTTCGCAATCGAAAGCCTTTTAATATACGCTTCACGCAAAAAAAACATATAGCTTCGACTTCAATTGTTTCGGACCAACCTTGAAATCTCAAGAAAAAGAAAACAAAGTTTTATTATTTCTCTTTACAAGTTACTACGATGTGTGTTTGTGTATAATGCATGAAGAAGTATCGAAGTTTTTGAGTGCATTTATTTCCCTGGCCAAAAGAAACAGAACACCTGTTCTTTTTCATTTCTTCATCACACTAGTGTCGTTGGGTCTCAAATTTATACCGTTGACACATATATTGTTACTCGATCTGGTCTCAAAATTTCTGCCATATATAGCAAAAATTAGTCTAGAAAACTACAAACGTTTCTCATCTGTTCATGTGTGGTTACAACAAAAAATTGTCGTTACGCTTATTTTACTCCCATTTCTCGTTTCTTTCGAATTTTTGTGTGTTAATTGGTTTCTTATCGAGCATCGCTTGCGGAGGACATCTTAAGATGTTTTCATCTGCAAACGATGCTCCGTAGCGAACTAAATAACACTTGAGAGTCTAAATGAAACGAGATATGAGAGTAAAATGAGTATAACGACAATTTTTTGTCGCAATCACACATAAAAAGATAAGAAATCTTTTTCAGTTTTCTAGAAAAATTCTGGTTATTTATGGCAGAAATTTTGGGAGTAGATAGAGAGATAGCAGATGTATCAACAGTATAAGCTTGAGACTGAATGGCACTAGCATGATGAAGAAATCTAGAAAGTAAAACGTTCCGTTTATTTTGACAAGGAAAATAGTATATTATTGACGGTCCTATTTGTAGAAGATCTTCTCAAGTTGTTTGCTGGAAAAAATTAATCAACTCAATGTTCAAATACTTCGTTTTCTCATTAAGGATATATTAATGTTCTAGTATATGGTAAGGCGAAGATGGTTCTTTTTCTTGGTTAAATGGACTTTTTTCATTGATTCTATGCTTGTCCTTTCGTGTGCGAAACTAGAACCCAAAATGCTTTAACTTTCTCAAAACGCCTGTTCATTCAATATTTTCTCATTGATCGGAATTACTTTTTGAGCATAATATCGATCAAAATGATACTAGAAACTTGGATTATCATATGCTGTACTTAACAAATACGAAATACGATGAATTTCATTGTTCAACTAAAATTTTATCAAGAGTTTTTAATAGTAGAGATGCTTAGCAAAAATTTTCTTTTGATTGACTGGTCACACTAATGTCTACACTGAAAGTAAATGTACTCACCACTTATGATCGAACAAACGAATAGAAACCAATGGTTATGATTGTTCTTACAGTGGTGAAATAGAAGATCTCACTGCAAGTTAAAAAAAATTCTGTCTCCTATTAAATAGCTTTTTGTGGTGAGCAACTTGCTTTTTGTGTCTACTCACATCATCACAGCACTACTAAATCCACTTGCGATCTAACAAAAGAAAAAAAATAAAACGCCAATCAAATAATGTATATGCACACTGTTTTAATGATTGTCAAGGACTTTGCTTTTCCATTAGCGTTAGTGTTTTACATATGAAAAAGTCAAAACAAAAGTGAGAAACGGTGAAAATGCTGCACTTTCTTCGATTTCTCCAATGAATCGTTTGCAATGATGAAAACAAACGAACACATATTCAACCACACTCATTCCTACGTGCAATAATCATTTTCGCAAGGAGACGTTATTATTGAGATATAGAACCCAATATTTCAAAGAGATATTCTTCTATCTGCGTGCCTTTCTCCTGTGCCTAGTGTATATGAAGGTACGAGAAATTTGAAAATAAATTATTCTTCCCAAAATTATTTTGAACCAACAGAAATTGAAAATGATCGAGGGTAAATATGGATGTGAATAGTGTGTGAGTGTGAATGAGCTTGAACATGGGTGCAAGGTATGGATTTGGTGTAGGTATGAGTTTGGAGTGTCGGGTGTGCGTGTGGATGTTTACGTATCTTCACAGTATCTACACCAACATCCGCGCACCCACACTCACAATCAGAAAACCAATGTATGCTGCGTAAATTTTCTCGAACTCAACTGTTCATATATGTGTTGTATTCTATTCTCATACATTAAAACAAAGTATAAAGTCCATTTCAATAGAGGTGAAACTTTTGTTGCTCAATAATTGTTCATGAATTATTTGTATAGAAAAAACAACATTGACTTTATATGTTCTTTCAACGTTTTTCTCCTTTTGATAAATACAAATTATTATTCTCAATTAGTTTTCTGCCAACACTTATTTAGTATTAAATTATGAGCTGATTGATTGTTTGTTTGTATTTCACGGCTCGCATTTGTTTCTGTTTCTTTATCTGAATTCTATTTCTATCACAATGAGCATCATGTTATTTTCTTTATCGTTCGATTTTTTTCTCTTCATCTCTAGTGTTTCTTTCTTTTATTTCTTTTTTCCTAGTTTTCTTCTCAGGATGAACTATCATCCTCTTATATCCAAAATGCGTGCACTGGCAGTTTAATGAAGAAGGGTTTCCATGCAACAATAGCTAGACAATTCGTTTGCTAGATTACGGATTTTCTTATATAAGAACATTGTAGAGATTAGACCGAAGAAAATACAATTTGTTTTTCCATTTTCGCATTCCTGCAACTATTAATCTCCTTTTTTCTTATGGTAACGTGTCGGCGAGATTAAGCACAATTGGAATCACGATAATCGTTCCGATGATAGGCAAATATGACAAGACAGTACGAGAAAAAAAAAGAAAAAAGATTCTCTTGTTCTTGTTTTAAAATAGTGTCTGCATCTCTTCTAAGTGATTTATTAATTAGTGAAAGACGATTGACTCCGATTGTAATAGTTTAAAAAGTTTCTTGCAAAAAAAAACAAAAGTCAAATAAGTCATTCAAATAAAACTGAACACTGAAACATACCATTAAACATTGAAGTTTGACCAAAGTTTTGAATGCCATGTCGTTCAACTAGTCTTTCAATTAGTCTTAAAAGCAAATGAATGTTTTGATTAATTTTATTTAATCCAAATAAATAAATCCACCATCGATATATTTTCATAACAGAATGAGCTAAATAATGATTTTAACTGATATATAATATAATACTAATGTATTATCAATAATAATGGTACCTGATGGTACTAAAAGTGCATAATAACCTGCTTCTATTGTTAAATATATATTTTGAATTTCAGCTGCTATAATTTCATTTTTATAAATATATTTTATATGATCACCTAAATGCAGTTGACTAGCAAATATAGCAGATTTCAATTCTGTATCATTTCCTAAGAATATTAAATGATTAGATGATATAAATAAAGATGTTGTAATATTTCCATGATCATCAATTTCTATATTAATTAATAAAAAACTAAATAAATCATTTTATTTTAAATGAATAAAACATTCAATAGGTTCATATATTAATTTATTTTCTTGATGTATAACCAATACACATTCACCAATAGCTATATTTGATAAAGATTTCATTGAACCATGTTAAGTTATAACGGTACTGCGACCAGGAAAGCATTTTGGTTCACGCCTTTTATTTACACAAGTATACTGAAGACAAAATTTACCATTCGATGATATTGAAGTACAGTTGCATGTTGAATCATATGGACCACTTTGACTGTTAATATAAGCAAATGGTAATATAAAGAGACATAAAAAAGCAATAGATAAAACAGACATTTGTATGTTGATTGAAAGTACATAGTCAACTGTTAAAGTAATGGTGAATAAGAGCACTAAAGGAAAAAAACCGCTGATGAATGAGAGTATATTTTAGTGCGATTGGTTGATGTGCCAATAATAAGGGCACGATCTTTCGTCATTTCTATGAGTTTGATTATGTCAAGACCATTGGTCAATATGCGACAAGACGCTCTGGCCTCATGATCAATGATAGTTGCCTGCTCATTCTGCCCTCTATTCAACCTTGTCTCTCTTCGATTCATTAAAGTCGGTGCCACAATGAAATATAAAACAGTAACTAATCAAGCCAAGTCTTTGAAACGCGTATATACTTTGTTCTAATAAACATACAATCTTAAACTGATGTTTGACTTGATATTGTAGGTTATACAAGAAAAATAAAACTTAGCTAAAAGAATTAGAACTAAATAGGATATGCATATGCATGCAATAATGTTGAGAAAAAGATCTCTCATCATAACTGCTTTTTAAGTGAAAGTTGAACATAAGCAGCGTGGCGCAGTGGAAGCGTGCTGGGCTCATAACTCAGAGGGCGGTAGATCGAAACTACTCGCTGCTATCTTCACTTTTTTATCCGTATATTTTTGCAGGATTTCAAAATCTGATGCAATATGTGGCAATACAGAACAGAACAAGCAAAGCATTTTACATTAACTATCGTATGATGCATCATTGCGAAAGACGAATGACGAAGTACTCTATTCAGAAACATTTATTGTTTAATTGATAAAAAAATTATCTTGTGGCCTATCAAATTATATTATTTCATTTTCTTAAGCATACCTTTTTCACAGTTAACGAAGTATTTTGAAATCAGAATTAATTGCTGCATGACATAACTGATTGAAAAATAATTATTTGGCTATGTAGCGTGACTATAGTGTTCAAAGCATTTTTCTAAGTATAATAAACTATTTTCTTCAGCAGAATAAATTGTAGATTCTTTTAAAAGCAGTAAACTTGATTAATATATTAGACATAAGTAAAACTACTATTTGATTGAATAATGACATCGGCGTATTGTTGAGACCTTGTAGATAGATAAAAAAAATAACATAATTTTTAAAATATCCTTACAATCCATGTGAGCTCGTACAAATTTTAATTTTTGTTTTGCTAATGCCACCTGTAAATCTAGAATATGTTTTCTACTCCACATGTTAGCTATATCTCTGAAAGCGCTTGCAGTTGGAAAACAATATTAATTTTGCTTTTCGTTTGATTTTTACTTAGTACGAATATCATTTAATACAGTAAAACATTCAGTCATTATCTATTGTCTTTTTCAACAAACTTTATTCAAAGGTTCAATAAAGTGTCGGACAAAAAGAAAGGCATTGTTTATGTTTCTCTATTATTGATACTATCAGATTGTTAAGAATGTCTACAGTGGTGATTATAAACACAGTAGAATCAATTTGAAAAACTGTATATTAAAAATCTTTATTCTTATAAATGATCTACAAATGAAAACAACATATTAGCTTAATTGGCCTGCATCAATCATTATTTTTTCGTCATCATCCTTGGATAAAGTAGTCTAGATAAGTCATTGCTAATCACACTCGTAGAATATCCTATTTCTGCAACATTGAAATCATAGTGACGATATACACAAACAGATAAAGCATAGCAATGCAATTGATTATTAGATCATTGATGGAAAATCTTTTTTTTTTCGGAACTCATATTTTTGTTTGTATCTGACGACTATTTACTTTTAACAAATTTAAAGAATTACAGAAGTAAAATGTGAAATTGGTAATTAACAGTTGAAATTTGTCCTCGTCTACTTGGCTTTTTTAATGAAATCAAATTGTATTTTTTTACAAATAGAATATGTTACTGAAGATATGGAAAGATGCGAGACAGATATTATTCGATAAGCTTGAATGCTAAATAGAAACAAGAAAAAGAAATAGATGTAGCTCTTCAAATAGTTGTATGTTGTTGCTATTTTTTTTTCGTTCTTTATTAATAGAACGCGTCGACCAATGTTCGTACAGAACATTTGAAATTATGAAATAATCTTTGATGAATTACAAAATGAATCACAAACAATGAATAGAGAAAAAAAAGAACGTTACCGGTACTGGGACTTGAACCCAGACTGAGAGATTGAAGGTGTGGGTGTGGTTGGTGTGGGATAGTGTGACTAACCCTTGAATGGATACTAACATGCACATTTACACCTACACCGATGCCCACACCCACACCCAATGTTCTTAGCCAGCTTGTTAAAAAGAAAAAGGCTTCGAACTAACATGTGATTAAATTCTTGGATGTATTTCAGAAAATAAGTTTTATTAGAGAAAGATTTGCCATATGAAATGTTGTTTCTCATGATCTTGTGTGCAGAACTTAATTCTGAACAACTTGGTGCAAATTGTTACTTAAACTATTTAACCTTTTTGACTGTTTTAAAGTGGAAGAGAAAATAGTCATCGTCAAATATTTGTTCTAAAATTTTGAAAGTTCTGCTGAAAGCTGCCGAATTTCGCGTAAAATTACGTATTACACTTGAACTTTCAGTCAAATTGTTTCAAAATACAGGGTGTCTCAAAAGTCGGTTTACTGAACAAAAACGGAATATCTCCATCATGGCGTGAACAAATAGGCTGATTTTTTTGTCGATGATAGAAGTATGTTCAATATTTACATCTATCGGGACAAGCATAGAGAGATTGATCGTTAAGTATCACTAGTGAGCTCAAAAAAAAGATGTTTTTCACAGATAGAATAAAAGACAATATACTAGCTGATGCAAAAGTCACATTACAGAATGAAAATTGAATGTCTTCATTACGACTCAAGCAAACGAGCTCATTTTTTTTATCAACGATAGAGGAATATTCAAGCTTTATATCCAAAAGGGGCTGCCTAGAGAGACTCTTTCTTAAAAAT